TTAACTTCTTAATTAATTTAGAATAATTTTAATTAAGTGGCACGCAATTACTGAGGAATTGTATGCAAAAGTTTGTAGTGTATTGATACAAATTCTACACCACTACAGCCGCATGCTACAAGTTTATGGACAAGATATCAAATTTATTCCGAATTGTTAATTACTACGCAGAATTGAGGTAGAGGAAAAACAAGGCAATTAATAAATTAAATGGTATGCAATAAATATGCTACGTTATATTAAATTAAATAGAATGTATGTAATGTATGTAAATAGTTGCAAAAAACTTTCATTTCATAAAAACATTTACATAGATTCAAGTTTGTTTTTTACTATAATTTAATCATCGTATCATGCATTTTAAGTAAATGATTTATGGAATATAATAAGGAATGTAATGTGTGGTGATACAATATTATCTCAAAATTATAAAAATGCTATTCTTTATTTATCGTTTGCAATTGTTTTATTGTTATTACTAGGAGGGAAATGGGAAATTTTCAGATTCTCTTGTCACAATAAATATATGGATATTACACGATTTGAAATTGCAGTTATTATGTAACGACATTTTTCATGACATACATTTTGGGAATATCCGATGCATATTGTATACAAACGAATATTTTGTTTTAGAATAAGACCAGATTGTGCAAAAGTAATCAATCGAATTTTCACATATATCATTAAAATGATTTGCACACACAAAATGCTGACAATTATCCTGTAATAATAACAATACATTACACAATTTTGTAGAATTGATCCGTTGAAAAATTTCAACTTACTTTTTCTTTTTTCACGAAATATTTGTCTTCTGTTAATGTTACGTAACCAAAAAATGTGCAAAATAATGGAATTATTTTTAATATAAAACTGTTAATATTGAAATTCTAATAATAATAAATGAAGTAAAATCTTGTTAAGGTTAAGAAGTTAATATCAAGACTGTCGGATTGATTAAGCAGAATGTTGTTATCGAGTGATCCCGTTTCATTTCTAGAGCAGAGTTCAGAGCACAGTACTCGATGAAATTCAACTGATCCTTTGTGCTTCGTGCTTGCGACAGAATTTGTCTGTTCACATTCTTCTGGTTTCCTCCGGAGGGCCAAAGCATTCTTTTCCAACAGGAATTCTCAAATTCTTCAATTATCCCCTTTGGCGTAACGACGCAGTAACCAATTGACAACACGTATACTATGCACTTATTGTGGGTTAAAAATTCCGTTTCGTGAATTTAATCTTTAAAAAACTGTAAATATGAATTGAAGAAACTGATACAAAACAATGCAAAATAATTAGAAATAATGAAAAAACATTTCTAACAAATGTTAGCATTTAATGAAATCTTTTTAAATAAAGACAGCATTTTACTAAAACAGAGAAACAAATGATGTTCCATTTATCTCCGAATGGCAACTGCCTCAGAGAAATTTGTTGCAAATCGATTGATTAACCCTTCGATTAATTTAATTTAAAGAAAAGTCAATGTAATAGTTCAACGCCGCTGCACTAATTAATTGGTCTCAGAACCCAATAGTTTCGTTCAATGTGGCGGTATTAACGTTGCCTCAGAGCACTTTGCAAGAGCGACAGTGATCCAACCGTTGGCAAATTCTGTTTGGCGGGTCGGCTAAGGGCAATTTAAAGCTTTAAGCTGAGACGGTCATCAAGAGAAATGCGGAGCATTGAATCAAGAACGATCTAACTCGCGCATTCGATTCCTTTCTCCATTTCAGCTTGCTCCATTTATCCACCGGTGACAGTAAATTGCGAATTATCGGAAAGTCACAGAAGAAAATTACTTGCTCGCAATCTTTTGGTTTCGGCGTCATTCGACCTACGTTATAATGATGAGCCGGAGACGACGACCTATTAATATCGATTATTTCAAGTACTCTTTATAGTTTTATGTTCGCTTTTTTCAATGAAACTCTATCGACCAGTGTAATAATTACTTAATAATTGAATTTATCTAACGTTAACTAATTAAATGGTGTCCACAGAGTATCTAATATCCGTAGATTATTTTAAATTTCATCTATTTTATTATGATTTATACGTAATTATGTTTATTATGAGCGCAGGATTAAAGTAGAAATTAAATTTGTATTAATATGATAAATACAGACTAATTTCAATAATATTTATATTCGTTAATTTCAGTTTAAAATCTTCGCCACCTGCTTGACTCAAAATTATAAAACAAAGGGTTAATGTGGATTCGTATATGATCTTTAAATGGCGAAATATTTACTGATAAAAGTAGACGAAGCAACGTTGAAACTATTCGATTGAGAATAGTATTACTTTTCAATTAGGAGATGCTCATATCATGCAACAAGAAGCATGTCTATTCATTGGCATTGCCTTCAGTTCAGTGCTGAATGGCGAAGCAAATATATTATTTCCGATAACTACGATTTATCGTTCAGAGACATAGTGGCAACAAATCAGGCGCGTTCCCGGCAATTTGAATTTACAGCTTCAAAGCAGAGATAGCCGCATCGTTGAATTCCTAACCTCAAAATCTAACATCAGCATTCCTCTGCAGCCATTGTATTCTACAGCTTGCTCAGGCACGATAATTTCACATTTTCTGTCAACCGTTGCGCATTCAATAATTATTTGTACTCGTACTAACAAACATACACTCTTAATTATTATTTTTAATACGTGAACAAATCTTTATTTTATAACTTTTCATTTGTACAGTGGATTTTTCATCTACAAAAAATTGCACTTCGTTCATTGACAACTATTATATACTGTTAATCAGAAATGTTAGCTCGTTTACCTGAAAAAGGAAAAATTTGACTTTTTTACTAGAAAAAATGAAAACATATTTTAGCTTTTATGTAAATATGTTTCGAGTTACTCAATTAAATAGTTATTATACTATTTTACATTTTCTCCCTCCTTTAAAAGCATGTAAATACACTGGTAAAGTATTTTTGAATGATACTGTAGCCATGTTAGCAATCTTTTCCAACCATTCGATGCGCGTTCCCGTTAACTCTTTATTTGCCTATTAGGGGAGCGCAGCATTTCGCTCTCGAACATAGAAAGGTGTGAAACAGGAAAATATCCACTTCTTTACTTCACACTGAAAAACGTTTCTATTAGAGGACGTGAAATCACTTTAGAACTTCAAAGTACTCGAAAAACGAATATTGAATTCTATGCATTCGAAATTGCTTTAAGCACAATAAATCGATTATAGTTCCAGGCAGAATTGCTAACAGGACACAGTAGTAATTCAATGTTTTAATGCTCGGGAACACCTGTATCGAGAACAAAAGAGCTGTTAGGGATTAGAATTTAATAGAAAGTGTTTATTTCATTCTGAAAAACGAAAATTATATTCTGTGATACTTAGAAAATAATCGAACGAACCAGTATTATTAATAATATTAATAATATTAATGCAATGAATTTCTCTTTTGATTTTATACGATAATTCTGCCAGTTTAATAAGATAGTAGATATACAAAGGAAACTACGAATTTCTGAGAAATTTCAAAATATTTGTTAAAACATGAAATAAATAAATAAATAATATTGCAATCATTAACTTATATCTTATAAATCCTGAATTAAATTTTTACGTGTAAATGATTTTATTATAAACAATGTTCTGAAGTACTAGCATAATAACTGTCATAAATAGGATAGAAAGAAGTATTTCAGTTAATGATTATCGCAGTTAAATAATTAATAATTATCGGAATAAGCTTGCTTGTTAATGAATCCAACACACAAGGTGTACACGTAAATACATTTCAGTTATCAAATGTTTAATTATATAATTACTTTCACATAACTGACGGAGTTTGTTCAAGTTTCCTACTTCATTGGAATACTGTAAATGGAAAATGAACAATGTAATGGCCCAGATCATTGGAAGCTAATTAAAACAACTGAAATCGAATTCAATAGGGAATTACGAGTTTTCGAATTTAAATGAAGAATATTGGCTCTTCTTACGAATTACAAACAATTATATGCACTTCAATCTTTAAAACTTTGCATTTTAACTATTGTTCGAACGTTAATTGGACCAATCGAAATAAAATACCATCCATAACTCAACTCACGGAGCTACGGAAACATTGACTGTACAACCGATCACCTATTTCCGTTTCTAATTAGATTTGAATAATCAAATTTACCCGCGTTTTGTTTGAAATATATTCTATATAATTTAGAATATTCGTTTCAGCGATAATTATATACAATATTCGATTTAAATGAACATCCACAGGCTGCGGACCTTTCGAAAACATCAACAAATAGTACATCGAAACTCGGAATGAAATACAAATTTCGCTCGTCGATAAAAATATTTCGTACGTTAAAAATAAAATGAAAATACAATGAACTTTTATTAATATACACAGGTGTTATACATTTCAAACAATCCTGTACGCCGTGAATTTATAAAGATCTGCAATGCAGACGTTAACCCTCAGCTTTATAATATCAAATGAAACGGCGATGAATATTTTGCTTCAAATTTAATAAATATAAATATTATTCACACAAACTGAAAAAGCATCCTATTTTATAAATATTTAACATTCAAACACGTACGTAGTTGATTTAAAGTATTCCCGAGAAATTACGTACGAACGAAGAACTAAGTCTAGCCAAGAAAAAGAATCATTACACAATTGATTCACTATATTAATTAAGAATACATTTCCGATATTATTCAGTCTCGAATATTTAATCATTCAACCGATTGTCTTTCGACTGGAGTATACTCGGAATTTATTCCTACCAAAAACTATGTTACATCGATTCGATCTTTTCTTGTGAATATATTTTTCACGGTACACTCAAGTACCGAAAAATGCGAATAAAATAATTGTCGTATTTTTGGTTAAATTTCGCAAATGAATTAATAAGGCGAGCACTTAACGGAAGGCTGGATAGACCTCCCGCGCCGTTTAAAAATCAATCAGATCCCGTTTAACGTTAACAATCGTTCGTTACAGCGCGGATGAAGGGTTCGACGGTACTTATCCAACGAACGTCGTCGTGAAGAACAATGGGACCTGCTTATACGTACCGCCCGGCATATTCAAGAGCACTTGCAAGATAGACATTACCTGGTTCCCCTTTGACGATCAACGCTGCGAAATGAAATTCGGTTCCTGGACGTACGACGGTTTTCAAGTAAGCGATTAACTCTTCCACGGTTTTCGTACCTCGCCGATTGGAAACAAATTTCTTTTTCTTTTATTCCAATGAAAGTTACTTTATACCCTTTTAACATTAAACGTATCATTGATTGAATGACCAGTTTCAGAATTTGATTTGAAATTCTGCAGTTTCTTTCGTTCGTTTAACTTTATGAATGTATTGTTCGATTAATCAGTTTTTCAATTTTTGTTTCTTTTCCTTTCTATTTCCCATTGTCATCGAAAAAACATATACATGTTAAAGTTATGTTTTATTAAAAACGGAGTAACTTATCTTACAACGTTGCTTCTGCGGCGACAACGGAGTGCAAAGGGTTGAAAGTCAAGCAAAGGAACAGATGAATCTTACAGTTGTCTACATAAGATTTAACGAAACTTGAATAATAGTAGAATACACAGTTCTCACGGTAAACTAATGTACAGTGAAACAGGGTTTTCATCTAGATATTGTATATCGACTGTACTCGAACAACTAAAACCTCAAAATTCCAGATGACACAGGCACGAGACTGAAACAGCAGAATTCAACTGTAATTCCGTTTCAAATTCAGTGTCACTAAACTTGATTCGGGGACATATTTAATGGGTCATTAAACGCTAATTGAAAATCCTAGCGAGCACGATCCGCTTGTGCGGAAGTTAAACAGATTTTCTGTTAATGACACTTCGCTGTTTCGAGTGCGCCGGGAGTCTTCCGAGTAAATTTCGAGCCGGAGCAGGGTCAACATCGATTAGATTCTTGAATTTCCATTTGCGGCCAGTTTAAGAATTCGCAAAGACACGCCGCATTTTCACGTATTCACTGTACTCCGGCTCGGTTTACTTTTAATTTGCCATGCACCGCTCGCGGAGGGACAGCCAATTTAAATAGATATTCAATTAGAATTACATGCCACTGCTTCCCGGATGGTTTGCGCGATCCTAATCCGATCGTTACGCTTATGTATGTGAAATCGCAAAGTTAGATTGCTTCTGGAAGCTGGTTTAATTCGATTCTCGATGCGACAATGTTTGCAACGTTTCGTTCGAAGCTTTTCGAACTCGTTCTGTTGGCTTTTTATTCGTTGTGTCTGTCATAAATTATTTATGAAGTGTGCATTTCTCAAGAGAATTCTTAATTAAGTGCATTTGTTGCGATATTTTCTGATCATTTTTTTCATAACCGTGTGTGTCAATTCAGAAGCTTAACCAGATAACTGTTCGACGAATATACACGTCATTTTAAAATGGTACTCGTTTTCTCAACGCTCAGTTATTTATTTTTCCAGATAAACATGTAATTCTTTTTCGTTAGAATATATTACAATTGCATTTGCCCCGCGTTTGACGAGTATGCACTTTATTATTTGATTTTATGGAGCGCACAATGAGAGATTTATTAAACTAAATTCCACGGTTAACTTGGTTTTAATATTCAATTTCATGTGTTTCATTGAAGCATCCACGTTTTCTTCGGATAAACGAATTGAACATTCTTATTTCTGTCGAATAATAGAGATAAGTCATTCAAATAATCGATATTTTGAAGTAATAGTGTATATTTTTAGTTTCGCCCCCTAAGTTTCCACGTATCTCTTGCGAAATTTTGTAATATTTACTTCTGAACTTTTTCTTTTTGGAAATATGTGCTATTTTGACAATGACCGAAATATTCCCGGAAAGTTCATTTCTTAATGTCTCCATCGATTTTCGTCGAACAAATGAGATAAGTTGGAAATAAGCGAAACCGGGATTAACAGAATATTCCAGTATTTATTAAGTACAGATAACAACACTGCTTTCGAGTTCAAAGGGTTTACGGCTTTACGTTAATTACACAAGCATTGTCGAGCTTCGCGAACCTTTTAGTCCACGCTCAAACGAAAATGTGGTAATAATGTTTCTCGAAAACGTTATTCCGGGAGGATTCCTAAAAATTCCGCGATTCACGAATGCTGCATTTTCGGGGATAGTATGTGCAACCGTGTACAGTGAAGAGAATTCACGGTAATGCAGCTTCCCGCTAGTCGTTTCGGTTGGTGAACAAAACGGTCGACGGTATTCGCAGTAAGATGTTTCGATGAATTTTTTTCACAGCTATGTGCTCAATATATGTTCAAAGTGTTTCATTTTATTTCACTTTATTCTACCTCATTATTTTCTTTCTACTTCATATTATGTGCATTTTTTTTAAATTGCAAAACTTGTAATTTTTGTAATATAATTTTTAAATGAATGCATTATGTGCAAACGTGTTAAACGATTTGAATATCATCTTATTAGTTCTATCACTTCTAATTAAAGTTGAATTTCATTTTACTGTAAACAATACGCCCGATTAATTTTATTTACGATGCAAATATTATTATATAAGACTTCAAATGTTCCTGAAATTCATTTGTAACTTAAAACAGATAATTATTAAACAAATTATAACATATACAGCTAATTTCCACTTGAAAAATATAAAATATTTGGAAGTCTTGAATTTCAAATTATTTCGAACGCGAAGGTCTTTTAATTCACACCTACGCAAGTCATTAAAAGTGACTGACTTATCTCCATCCATCGTTAGGGGATATTTTGAATAATTACAATTTACGATGCGAATTATGCGATGCAACGGAATTCCAGAACGCTTGAGGGTTTAATAAGAAGAACAATAAACGGAATGAAATAATACCGAGCCAAGACAGTGGCGAGGAAGACAGAGCGAAAGGGGGAAAGTGAAATACAGAACAGTTCTCCCAGTTCCATTTGATTTGGTAAATAATGAACTAGATGCAAAATCGTGTTCCCGTTTCCATCATTTTCCCTTGTTTTGCATCTTTTTGTGCCCGTCTATTAAAGTTACCCATTGAACGGTGCACTTCGTGCGAAACTTGATTAGGATAAAATTTAATTCGGAGAAAGAAGGAAAGAAACCCGGTGACGAAAATCAATTTGTTTTAAACGTTCAATTCACCGTAACTGACAGATAATTCTGATCACTTATATTTTAAACTATACGCCATGGAAAAACGTAATAAATAGGTTTTATTTAATGTAATATTATTCATTCGTGGGAAACAACGTCAAAGGAGTTTATTATTATGACACTCGGGTAATTATATTCTTATAAATAGAAACAGTGGAATAAATTATTTAAGAAATATTATTTAAGAATTATTTAAGAAATAGTTTCAGAACAGTTACTAACTAGAGAATAAAAAAATGTTTTTTCTGAAAGATGATAGTACTATAAAATTTTAAGTGATTCATAGAATAGTAAATAAATTCGACGCACATCAATGTTTATAAGAAGAAAGTGAATTTCGAAATAAATATATAAAGAAATATATAGTTTCATAGTTTTTTAAATTTCGGGGTTCGATGACTTCCCTTGTAAGTGCTGTATGCTAAGTTTCAAAATTTATATCTCCTCAAGTTTACGATTTATTTACCTTTTCCAGTGATCAAATACAAAACAACCCCCTCATTTTCAAAATCTGTACAATTTTAACCCCAGAATCAATCAATCTTCACCAATACCCGATCTCAAAACCATTCTTCCCAAACATGCGATATTTAGCAGACCCAAAGACTGCAACAATCAATTATATACGAAAAAATGTACTTTGCATCGTCCGACAGCGCGATCCGCCAAATTTCTCCGACGACGCAAGAAATCACATCATAAATAATCTCCCGTCTAACCGATCGCAATAAATTGTCAACAGTTGGACCTGCAACTGCAAGACGAGAACGGAGGCGACATCAGCAGTTTCATCACGAACGGCGAGTGGGATCTGTTAGGTGAGTTTTTACAACCCCTATCGAGGATCGTTTCCTGACACGGCCGAGTAGTTTCCCCGGCGTCGAAAGCAATTCCTCGGCGATTAGCAATTCTAAAATCGGTCCGCGTGTTCCGCGGGGCGAAAGGGCTAAGGGCGGACGGGCACAAAGGACGGCCGGCGATCAATCGTTTCGTCGCGTCGCGCGACAGCAGCTGCATCTTACTACCCGGGCCTCCATCCGATCCAGATTTTCATCCCGGCTACACACGGCAGTAACGTTTTCCATATCTTCCGAGTGAAAATTAATTAGAACTTCGTGTCCCGACATGAAATCGCTCTAATTATTTCAATCACCGCCGGGCCGGTTTTACGCACGTAATAACGACGATCGTTTGCTTTCTAAATGCTAACTCAATTAACTAACTAACCCGGTTGTCGGATAAATTTTACAACCGGAAGGTGTTTTCAACAGTCAGCGTCGACGAGCGCACGCCCGCGCCCCGCCACTTATTAATTGTGGCCGAACGGAAACGTTCGGTCGCGGTGTTTCAGTTATTCGCCAAGTTAATTACGCGCGTTTAAACTCTTGAGGATCGTGTAATTAGTGAATTTTCGTTACACCCGACGTATCCTAGAATCTCTGACTGCGTTGCATTATGTGGGCCAGTGGATCGGGTTGAACGAAATATTATTTCTTCGAATACCAACGTTATATCACGTTTATTCGCATGAAATGAATATTTACTTGCAGGTTTTCCTCTGAAGAGTTTCGAATAATTTTTAATAAAATGTTTTCGATATATTCGATTAATAGTAAGATAAAAAAGCTGTCACTAAACTTTCATTTTCTCGATAACGCATAGAATGAATCGAATTCTGTTCGATATACGAGACGTAAGACAATAGAACAGTGAAGAATTTTGATTTTGTAGCTGCTACATTATTAAGAAAACTGTTTCCACCGCGTGCAAGTTTTGAAGACTTTTGCAAAGTGTGAAACGAGTGAAATCTTTTTCTTATTTCCAGTTTCACGCTGAACGGACTGTGGACGTTCAAATATGCAGAAACACCCGCAGCCCGGTCATTACATTATCCTCCCAGATAATGAAAATTTATGCGCGCCGGTGTATTGTTGAAAAGTAAATTACCTTTTCACCGGTACAAGGTTAATCCCGTACCGCAATTAGTAAAAAGTTTGTCATGCCCGTTCCCGGAGCGATTCGGATCGCCGCCGGTCCGAGGAACGGCCGTTTAATAATCCACCATTAGCGCAGTTCCGCGCGGAATTATTTACTCTCATACCGGGGAGATATCGCGCAATGTTTGCGCTGAATCGACGGCTTCCCCGATGCAAGCGAATTTACTTGGTTACTTTTCCCGGGAACTGCAAATTCCCCGGCTGTTCATTATTTCCCTCCTTCGGATTGTCAACACTGACCGACGTTTAGTTTACACTTCTAAATGGAATATAAGTTCGGCAAACGTTCCCGGCATTCGTTCCATATATAATTTACCGTATTAGCGATTCGAGGCGACCGGTCTCCGCGATAACAACGAAACGCTCGCGGAACGGTCAACACCGGCGGTCGCCCGTTATTTACTTCTTTCCATCGACGCCTAATTTGATTAACACTCGCGTCCTCTTCGGCTGCGAACTGTATCCAACGTGAGAATCAAATTAATGGAATATGATAATTCACGAGTTCGTTGTAATATTTGAGAAACGATTGCATTCAATTCTTGGAATTTTGTGAACCGAATGGAAAATTTTGAACGTGTTGAAAACTTCGTTAGCTTGATATCAATTATTTCTACAAATTGGTAATACAAATTCGTAAATAAATGCTTAATTGATGTAATGACTATAGATAATTCGATTAATACGCGTTGCAAGTTTATTTAATGACTCTGATATTGCAGAAGTAATACCGATATTTGAGAGAAATACTTTTATCAAATATTTGTTTGTTTCAAAATATTAATCGCACTGTAACTTATAAAATATAGCAGCAAATTTTGCGCAGTATCCTCTGGATCACTCTGCATATTCCTCTCCCTTACCTAATATTTTAAGGTCTGGAAACCCGTTTTTCTTGGTGAAACCACCCCTTTAGAAAATGCAAATTTTTCTTTCCCATAGATTATCTAAAGAACAGTAAGAGGTAGCTGAAAAAAGTTTAAACAAAAGATACATTATTCTTTCACGTCTATAAACCTGCGAAATAAGATTGTTCGAGAAGGGTTGACGGTGGGTGTTTGAAAAATTTGAACTGTTTATAACATTTTATTTTGTACAGCTAATATACAGGAAAATAAATAAATTCAGCGATTCATGCATAATTAATATAATCGAGCTACCATACCAAGCGTAGCGTTAATACATTGTTGACCGGTCACGAATTAACTCGTGTTTGCAGCTGCATTAGACAATTCAATTGTTGAAACACAGGGCAACATAGAATACTGCGAACGCAAAATGTTCAAAGTTATGTAAAAAATATCTCCAAAGTTTCGTTTCATTTCGTTACGTATGAACAAAGTGTACCAAAGTTTCTATGTAAAATTGCCGATCAACAATGTGTCAAGAAACCGACATGTCCCTATGATTCTGACCCAAGATACTAACTTTTTCCTATTATTGACCCGTCACGGCTTAATAGAGTCGACACATGCAGACTTAAGCTCTTTACAGCAAAAAACGGCTCTTATTGTTTAGTATTTTAACGGCACATCGCGGCAATACTCATTGGCCTTTTGAAATCAAATTCCAAAACTTTCCTTTCACCCGCGTATGGCAGCCAGCGACGGGTTGTGAATGCATATTTCTGAAGGGCGACCAATGGTATCCTAAGGACACTCGGTACCTGGGCTTTGCCTGGAAGAAATTTGCATCCAAGCTGAAAACATAGTCTCCGCGTGTCTTAGGTAGCAGCCCACCCTCGTTAGACTAGGTGCGCCAAGGGCGCAGCGACGGTGGAGACGATTCGTTTCGAAAGCCCCTGACTGGGACTTGTCAATTTCGGCGATAACCGATCAGGGTGTTTTCTTAAATTTCGGAGCTGACGATCCGACTCGCAGATCGCCAGCGACACAGACAACTCAAGATCGAACGAAACAAATCATACAAGCGCTTAGTGTTCAGACATAATTACACACGAAAAATACAGTCCACTAACGAAGTATCAAGCGGTCTCGTTAAATCAGCTCCAAGGACGCTGCTGTGAAGGACTCAGCCGCTATACCCATTAATCTCAAAAGCTCTATTGCATCGGACCGTCGAATGAAACGAATGGAAAACGGGAAGTAATTGTTTAGCGTTAGATCGCCGTAGTCTACTTTGTAAATATCAATCTCGCGTCTGCGCCGGCTGCGTACGGACAGTTTCACGGAAATTGTAAAATGGAAATATTTCTCTCCGCGGGCGCGTAGCTTTTATTTCCGGGATCCGTGCATGCACGAGGTGTCGGTGTGTGTGCACGCGCGCGCGACGCGGCTGTATGCGCGCGCGGGCTTATGAAGCCCTCGGTAGAAATGTATCTTAAGTGACTTCAGCTGCAGGAAAACGTAGCTGTAACTGAAGAAACACTTGAAAATAAAGCCGCAGACTCTCTTCCGGTATGTTGCTCGAGATAATTCAAGTGCACCCCGCGCGCCGGTATAAAATAGTTGAGTCATCGCTATCGGGGCCCGTCTTTTATTTCCGCGAGCGGTTCCCCAGCCCGAGCGAAACTGTCGGCTCCGAATATCCCGCACTCTGTCATCGTCTCTTTTAATTATTCCATTTGGGGTCCCCCGTCGCGACACAGGTTTTTGTTGAGACGGCAGGCAACGTGCAAAGTAGGCTTCGGAGGAAGTGCATTATCGATTTCGTGAACTTTGTATTTTTTAATGCCGAAACTAGACATTCATTCATTCATTTTGAGATTTAAGTTTCATTGAAGTTAAATAAGTATGAAAATGAAGTTCGCATTCCCTTTTATATGAGTTAATTCTCTGATGTGATGTATATCACAATGGAGGCAAAGTGACTGAGAAATTGTAAGTTGCCGAGGAATTGTTAATACAAATAGTCCGCGATCTATAGAAATATTTAAGATACAGGTTAATTTATGTTATGTCGCTATACGATCAAAATTAGATTGTGGATGTTTATGAACTTATAATAATTACACATGTGGGAGAATAAAATATGAGGTACAATTAAATCAGACGTAATTATATCAATGTTAGCGTTTTGAAGTCGCTAATAAAGAAAACCATTACCTGCGTTCCAATTATTCAATATCGAATCAGAAACATTTTATTTCATATGAATACCCACGATCTAATGAGAACATGTTGATTAATAAATTGAAATAATTCCACGTGTTTGTTACAGGGGTTCCTGGTAAAAGGAACGAAATTTACTATAATTGTTGCCCAGAGCCGTATATAGACATTACGTTCGTTGTTATAATCAGGAGGCGAACACTTTACTATTTCTTCAACCTGATCGTGCCGTGCGTTTTAATCGCCAGCATGGCCGTTCTAGGATTTACCTTGCCACCGGATTCTGGCGAGAAACTTTCATTAGGTGAGTTTAGTAAACATCTTACACTTCGAAACTGTATTTACATATTGACACATACTACAACTCAGAAGTCTATTTCGTCCGGAGGAGGATTTAACTTTTTAATGAAAAATAGAATAATGGTACTGCAATTTACTGTTCCATGTTGCAACTATTTATTTATATTTATTTGAAATTATTTCTTTAAACTGATTCATGCTCTTTTTGAAGATAAGTCAAACTGCATTGGCAGAGTAAAAAAATATTTTCAAATGATAAACTTCATTCACAATGATAGTAATATGTTTGCAGAAAAATGAAGTAACATGAGTCTTTGTTTAATTTTTTCATAAATCAGGTTGAAAGTAATTTTAAATGTTTGAATGATATTTTATAGGTAATTGGTATGAATACAGTTCTAGGTATTCAAATTTAAAGTATATCACATGTAACAGAAGATATTAAATAAACACGTTAACTACAAAATATATAAAATCGTTTTTATAGTTTTTAAACGGCAACATTTCATTTAGAAACAGACTTTGTAAAACTAAAATAAATTTTAATAAATAGCATTTTAATCCATCAGAAAAATTCCTTATCAGAGTTTATTGATTCTAAAGATCAGAATTTCTTTGAGACAGGCATTTACGCGTTAAAATCTCGTTGGGAAAAGTGTATTGAAGCAAATGGCGGACATTGTAATTAAATAAACAGCTTTTGAGAAAGAATATGCAGTTTTATACATTCACTGAAAAATCCGACATTTCATACGCACCAACCTAATACTGTCCCTGCACTAGAATGCTAATAAATTCTGTCTCGCAGTAGTTTCAAATCAGCGGGATGCATAATTCCAATTCCTTGCAGGCTTCGGAGCACGCCATAACAGCTCACGTGATTAGATTCAGTCGAGTTCTCGCGACGTATCGAATGCATGGGAGATTACAGATGCGTTGATCTCGATCAGAGACATTCATGTATCGCCGAACAACTGGAATTTATCGATTAGTTTTCTGAGAATTTCTTGCTGTTGCTGACGCGTTATTACATTTCTGGATTCACAATAGGCATAGGTACCTACACGTGTTATCAACTGTAGTCATTTGAGTGATCTTGAACTGCGATTAAACGCGAAATATCACTATTCGAAAGTCAGAAAAGGTTTCAATTTTTAGAATAAAAGGTCACTGGCTCTTAACCTCTTGTACATCAAATTCTTGCAAATATAAATTCAATTCTAATTTAAACGTTAAAACGTTTACTGTGAATATTTTCCAAGATTAACTTAAGTGGTTTATAAAATATAATTTAAAAATATATATATTTTAAGAAAACACAATTAAAGTTCGTAGGATTATATAATATTCGATTTGTTAAATTTATTTATAATTTTGATTAACTATATATTTAAAGCATAAAATTACAAAAGAATGTGAACGTTCACCGTTTGAAAGTAGTTGGAAGAGGAAGATACCTTAAGTGCTTTTTTAGTGAAGCTCGCCTGTACTTTGACCTTTTATTGCTACTTAGACATGTTCGTACTAAACTGTGAATTTTATAAATTTATAGTCCACTCAACGAGACGAGACAGTGCAGAAACATCAACCTGCTTTATGCTTTATCCATCCGCAGCACGTGCATTTATTTCCTTACCATTTTAATAATCGTCAAACGTATTCGTTCGTAACCATCGATCGAGGTCGTCGAATAAACTATTGAATTATTAAAAATAATAAAAACTTAAATGTTTCTAATCGAAGTAGAAGTAGCATGCGTTTAATCAGGTTTCCGTTCGAAAACAATAGCCGAGCAATAATAACTTTCTTAAATTAATCTATAAAACCAGAAATCCTATTAATACTCTAAGTCTAGTATCGAAGTTTACCAATCAAACGCCATAACTCGGTCAATGCTTTTTCCGCTGAGTTTGTCTTTAGAAACATTAATGGCATCGGACGTGTGTATAAAATATCCAATAAAGATTGAAGAGTAATGAAAATTTTATATTAGTTTTACTATTCGAATGAAAGTCGCCGAATATGAATTCTAATGTGAATACAAAAATAAGGAAAATAAAATTAAAAGTTTCCAATAAAATAGATCTTTCATTTTGTACTTTGAAAGATATTTTAAGAAACAAATTTTGATACTTATTCTATGCGTAAAAAAAAAGAAAAAGAATATTTATTTAAATATCTAAGAAAAATGAACACTTAAATTTGCCAAAGTCAGTTTAACATTTTCGTCGCCAGTCTGACACGATATTATGGACGAAGTGGTTAACAATAAAATTTAGTGACCAACATTTGGATACATTACTTATCACTCGATACTACTCATTACATAATGACTTATTGTATACTAATATACTAGTTGTACGAATAATAATACAAGACTTACAAAAGAGACATATCTTAATTACAATGAATTTAGGTTGTCGCAAATGTGTCACACAGGTAGCGAACGTAACTGTAACTTCTCCTAATCACCTGTAAATCTAGAAAAATGTTTCCAATTTATTCACCCCGACTAATTGAATCCACTGTGCGATATAATTGTTTGCGTCGTTAATCCTGTTTTGCAGGGGTAACCATTCTCTTGTCCCTCACTGTGTTCCTGAATATGGTGGCCGAGACAATGCCAGCGACATCGGACGCCGTGCCTCTGTTGGGTAAGTCCGTAAATTTCCGGTCCCTTTTTATTACTTCGTTTTATTAGCCATGATAGCTACGAAGTGGACTCGCGCGAAAATAAAGTCGGACTCTTCGGGAATGTTAGCCGGAAGAACAATGTTAGGTTACGGAAAATGAAAAGATAGAGGTCAGCCTGATCCCCCCTCGGTCATCCATAATTCACCCGAGACGTCAAACAGCGGACCACGCCAGAGACGACGGATAAAATTATCGAGAGATTGTCAAAGTCGTCCGTCGTTCGGTTGTTTCGTCGTTAGAGAGAGGATTAATAATGCACTGGGTCGCAATAAGAGCGACCTCCGCGAAAAAAGGCATTCCAATTTTCCGGGGGACGAAAAGTGTCTGTCCTCTTCATAATTCAGCGAATCTGTTTCATTCCGCGACTTATTCAGATGGACACGGCTGTTAAAGATGCATGGAGGACTTCGGTAAGAGTCATCCATTTTGTATCGGTTCAGCTGGAATAACCTGTTATACACATCGCCGGACGATGTAGGAAAAGTGAAACTGGTCGATTATCTGGGAATTTAAGAAATTTATGCTATATAATCAATGTTTATTGAATTCTGTCGAGTCTTTGTGAAGGTTTAAATTGGTACAAAGCAAACGGGAAAATTGAAACTAACACTGAAACTACGAAACGGGTCAAACACATTCCTGAATTCTTTTTGCAATTATGAGAAAGATAACAGATATTACGCAAAACTGAGTCGTAAACCAATAACAGTCTCGATAGATGCACTCTTGAAGTTTCTATAGAGGAATTTCAACAAGTCAATTCAACTACTAGTTTTAATATTAAGCCGTTTTCTATTAAAATGTTCGTGGTGCCTATGCGTACCATTCGGGGCTAAATGATTATGTCTTCTAAATATATAGCTTTTGTATCCAAAACGTTATTGTTATTAGTATCTTTTCAATAACGAGTTACAGCACGATGGGTAAAATGAAATTTCATTGAATTGCCCGTATAATTAGTTTCGCATTTAAAATTGATGTTTTCATAGCGATCTCGTTTCCGGTTATGGCAACAATAACAGAGCTTCGCTGTACGAAACTCTTGGCGAGACGTGCTCGGTTCCGCAATTGCACCGAAGATTTGGACCGAAAGCCGCGGTGGGATTAAATAATGCAGGGGAACCCTCGATTATCCGTCCATTATCCGAACGTTACGCGATATTGTCCGGAAAATGTACGTTCCCGTACACAGTTTTGCGTTCATCTTCCCGACCGAATACGTTACAGCGGGATGTCGATAGCCGAGCATTTCGCCGGATCAGATTACTGCTTGATGAATATGTAAAATTTCATTTAATTTCATGTGAAACGATTTTAAAGGCGGAATTGATCGTCGAACCGGAAGAACATATTATACTTTAATCCTTCCACCGTGCGCCGGCCTTTTGAAATTCCTCCCATGATCTTATCCGGGTTACCTATTTAAATTCAAATCGTGAGATTAGATTTTCCGTGTTGCCGTCGTGAACGTGAGTTTCTGGAATATCGAGTAAATATTAATATTAATAATGTAGCAGTTTTGTTGGATAGGAACGAGCCTGTTTCGTAAAATAGAATCGACGTTCATTGTCCTTGTTTGAGTTTTTCAAATTTTTCTTCTATTTCTATTTCCACTAAGAGAAATATCTCGCTTAATTTACCTTCGTTTTGTAACTAATCATTTTACTAGTTACTGTAGGAATAGGTATATACAAAGTGCCGTTACATTTATTGTTAAACACAGACTCTAAAGGAACGCAATCTCGATTGTTCGAATGAATAAAATTAAAACAATACGTTTATACTCGGTTACTCGATTACGACTCGTACACGCAGCAAGAATAAATACGAGAAAAGCCGATCTTAGGGCTACGACAGTGACAAAGCTCTCGAGGTTCTCCCATATTTCATTACGTCGCGTACAACTCGATATTCATTTTCGCGGGGCGAAAATTTTGATATTTATTATCATCGAGCGAAGACGAAATACACCTACGGACCCGGCCAACGCGCGTGATTTATCATCGCGACGCGCTGACAACCGGAGAAGAAGGAAATCCTTCGGTTCGGCTATTGCCCGGAGCTCTTTGCGCGGAATCCTGTGGGAGGCTTATGCATAGATCTTAGCTCTGGACGCAACTAGACTGCCGTGAATAAGTATTAGGGCGTCCCGTATTTCTCACATTTTTGTATTCGAGTTTATTTTGAGGTGGTCGTGTTAATAGTAAATTCTTGTTATTCTTTTGTTAAAATGAATAATTCTGTAGATGGAAGTGTTCAAGAATTTAATGTGGATTTGTTTGGATAATGTTTCATGTGGATTTGTTAAATTTATTACATGTGCATTTCTTTTCAATGTGAATTGTGGACTCGAATTACACGACTTCAATTTACACGACTTAATAGACTCAACACATGCAGAGACTTTGAATATATTACTTAATAATACTTATCACATAATGACTTATTTTATGACAATATACCAGTTGTATGAATAATAATACAAGATCAACGGAATAGATACATCTGAATTATAATGAATTTGGAACGTTGATTTATCTGAAACAGTTAAAAACATTCCGAATACTATTGGGATCATTCAAATTCGTCTGTTCATCTTCGTATTAGATTTAATGTTACAGTTTTTCCCTTAGAGAAACAGGGGAAATTTATTGGAATGCGTTTAACGTTCAGAGGTATCTTTCGTCACGCATTGCCAACTAGTTGGTGACTTGATAGTGACTAAAGATTGAATTCCGATCTAGAAAGTCATTCTGCTTTTATCCACCTGGTCTTTAGAAACATTGCCTAATGCGTAAACACTTGCATTCGAGTTAATAGACTTCATTTGTCGCAACCACTAATGAGTCACGCATGAATCGCTCACGTTTCCATTGCCATTAGCAACTCGTTAGTCGCAGAAACAGAAGCGCAATGGTACATGCTAAAATATTCGAACTACACGATAGTCACCAAACAAGTGGTAATCAAAGTTATCTATTAACAGTGGTAATCAATGTGTATCTTAACCAAACGTGCCGGAACAAATATTGTCTTTACGTTAAAAATAAACAACATTTAGATTCGTCGAGTTCGAAAATTTTCATCCCGAATCGACGCGTTATTATAAAGCAAGAGGTTAATAGGCTTCCGATAGATAAAGTGTTAAGTGTACATCTGACCCGTATACGGTGTCGGGCAGGCTCATTGTGCACAGGACCTCTTGATCCCTGTCTGACTATCTCCCATCGCAGTCGGACCGGTTCTGCCGACGGTCGCTTGTCAGTAGTAGCAGATTGTGCGGGTCGGAGCATTGGCTTCGAGCTGCAAACATTCATTGACGTCTTGAATGCGAGTGCGGCCCCGGCCGAGCGGGGGCGACCGTTTTGAAATCGGCCCGATCGATAAACCGAGCGATCGCATTCAAAACGTGTTTCATTGAACGCGCGGACCGCTCTCCTTCGTGTTCGAATGTGATTTCCAAACAACTTTATTAATCCGTTATTAATCCGTGAAACGGCCCGCGCCCCGCGCTCCCGCAGGTCGAACCGCACTCTTCAGACGGCATTTAGTTTCGTCCGAAGCGATAAAGGGCCGATTCCCAGTGAAAAGAACGTTTCGTTGGGGCCTTTCGCGTCGATGATCGAAAACCGACGCATGAATTCACACTTTCATGGAGTATTGGCGGTTCCGATGGATTCTTTTCGGCTTCGAGGAATAATTCGCGCGGAAGAAGTCGTGGATTAGTCTTTTATGTTGATAAATTGATGCGTTACAGGCTCGGATAGATTCTTTATGGGTTCGGGGGAAACGGAGGATCGTTGAGTCGTTGATGCGACTGATTATAGTGGCAGAAGAATTGACAGTAGAGCTACCGAGGATTTAATATGATTAATATGTGATCCCGATAAAAATTGTTAGAATAGATTACTTTCGGTTTCTTCAAATATTCATAGTGTTCGAGTGAAATTATTTATTTTCAAGATTCGAATATTCAATGCTTTTGAGATATCAATAATTGCGAAACAAGAAAACCAGTCATTTTGATTTACAAGCGTGAAGAAGAAGATATTACAATGTTATATATTAACAATTAATTTTATGAAACTATGTGCAATGGTTCGACAATCAGCAAAATAACCTCTTAATTTACGAGTTTCTATATATTTTATTCATAAAATTACGTTTCGGAGACGTCCGTTAATTAAATTCCATTTTATATGATAATCTTAATAGGAAAAGTTACTTAAGTTTCCCAACATTTTCGCAGGTACATACTTCAATTGCATCATGTTTATGGTGGCGAGCAGTGTGGTCAGCACCATCCTTATTTTGAATTATCATCACCGAAACGCTGACACTCATAAAATGTCTGAATGGGTAAGTCCTCTTTTATTTCTTAATATATCTATACTGAAAAATAAAATCTACATAAATCTACATAATAATTTATAGACACTCCATTTCATTTATAATTCCTTTTAGCCACGATGTAAGTTCAACTGACTAAAGAGAAGTAATGTAACATCGATTTTATTAGCTTCGAATAGCCTCATTAATTTCTTTATATTTACAATACACTTTATTATTTAAATTATCATAATTCAGATTCACGATTATCAGTGAATTTAGTAATTCCGACAATCAACGATAATGCGAATAATCATATTATTGTAGTTACGATTATTTTTTGTTCCCTTAGCTTCGTTTTCGCTTTTCTTAGTGTTTCATTGTTTTATTCTGACCGAAATCGGAGGCCTCACCTCGTCCCATCTGTCCGCACTCCTCCGGAGCTACTCCGTGGATGAACTCATCGTATATGTGGCTTCAATTAGCGTGAGACCATGTGCCTGAAAGTACTCTTCAGGTTTACTTTGGTCGTTAACTCGATTCACCCTGTTGAGTGACACTTGGTTATTTCCTAGCGGGGATTTTACGAGCCATCGTATCCTTTGCGTTACGGGAATCGCATAAACGGCGCTGATCATTAATATTCTATGACAAATCGCGTTTAATGCTCAACGAAATCTGAAGACTTAGTGTTATCGTTTGTAATCCAATTTAACTGATAAATTCATTTTCAACCGACACCCTGTTTCAAAGTTCAATTAATCAGCTCTGTATTTTACCGGAAATAAGTGTTCCAGTCGTCGCGGAATTATGCGCAGAGACAACAGATGTCGATACCAAATCATTATTACCAGACTGTTGAGATTCTGGATAATTAATATTTTATTTTTTCATGGTCATTTGAGAAGATTTCGCGGTGATATGATTTAATATTTTATAATTGTTTAATTAGTAACTATTTAATCTAATTTATAATAAACACTTCAGTATATATTTTACTGCATTTATTGTATTTAAAAATCAATCTATTGGTAGTAACAGTTGCAGCAAGTTAGAGCCAGTTCTATGTGCAGTATCAGCTAATTTTAAACTGCCACAGAAATGTCGTTCGTTTAATTATACTGGAATTAATAGTTCTTTTTATTTTTCACGGAAACAATTTTAAAACTAATATGTCGTTCTGTATTTAAATATTCATTCAGATTTTAAGTTTTCAAAATTATTTCATTAATAACTTCATAAAACCATACACCTTTTAATATTCTCTGTTACTAGCGTGATTCATTGTTGGGATACACTCACATCTATTATATTACGGTCTTAACTGCATCTCGATTCTAACTTACAGGTGAAAGTGGTGTTTCTTTATTGGCTGCCTTGTCTACTTCGCATGTCAAGACCGGCTGATAAAGAAGAAAAGGAAGCGCAGAAGTCTCAGAAACCGTCTCCAGTCACCGGTAATTTAGTGACACGAAAAAGCATCGACACAAGTACTAACAACAATTACTGCTGATTATATAAATGTCTCTTCGGTGTTCTCTCACTCGAATCACTTTCAGCCAACACCACAGAATACTGAAACGTGCACAGTACACGATACACCGCAATACCTAACTTAAATATTACCTAACCTTTATTGAACCAAAAGATTAAACACTGTACAAAATATAAGTGTTTATAGTTATAGGAATACTACCATTCGAAAGATCATCTTTTCCCTTTGTTAATTCTCTTTCAGTTAACTTAATACCTGCAAATAAAGATCTAATATATCAACCCTGTCAGAAAAGCAACAAAAAATATTTTAGAATTAAAATTACAGTATTTCTATTCTTTAAACGATTAGAAATACAGTAATGCATTTTACGATCCACTAACAACAGAAGTTATCAAACCCTGAAATTATAATATATTAGGCTTGACTTACACTATCGATACAAAAAGTTTCACAATTTTGTAAATTTCTCGGTTCGATAATTTCCCTTGTAAGATTGAAGACGTGTCCAATTAATTTATATGGTTAAAAGGAAATGTTAGTACTTGAAATCAAAGTATAGTATAGAATGTTAATTACTTTTGACTGCTTTATTTTCTAAATATGAGTACAAATTTCTACATAATCTCAGCACTAAAATAATATAGTCTTGTTTCCTAAGACCTATGTTTAAAGTGAAATTCATTTTATCCGTTCCAATAGTAATCTTTTAATGTTGAATATTCAATGGAGGATGATTTATGAATGTACTACAATACTTTGAGAACATCTGTGTTTTTAAAATAATAATAAATGTTATATGAATCTAGGCCATTATAGTTTTTAAACTATGGAAAATGAAAGAAAGTTGCTTCAAGTTTCATTATATGTATATTAATTTAATGAATTTAATCGAATTAATTTACTCTAGTCTTCAAATCTGGTAATAAATATCCAAACGATAAAAGTACATTGCTTCATATAAAGTATTAGTATTCATTTGTAAATCATTCCTGGTATCTGGAAAAATGAGTGTAATAAATTCTTAACACTTTGAGTGACTAGAAGAGCTCCACAAATTTTTTGCAATTTTATTTTATTTGTTGCAATTAGATTGCAGTTTCTTATACTATTAGCTACTTTAATTTCCAAACACTCAAATTTCTATTCGTAATTTCCGTTCGAGCAGTCGGAGGGTGACATAGCACTCAAAGTGTTGATTCGCGGATTTAAAGATTATTCATTGGAATATTTGATCGGGACAGGTACTAGCAAAACATACGGCGACCTGGAGCTCCATCAAAGAAGCAGCAAGTCCCTGTTGGCGAACGTCCTGGACCTAGAGGACAATGCCTTGGCGTCCCACAACAACCTCCTGAACAATGTGTATAGTACCCCTGGTCCCCACCATCCCCACACGATGGGCCACGGGCACAGTCATATACACGCGACGCCACATCATCATCACAGCCACGCTGCGACGCCGCATCATCAACACTCAACGCCATTGGCACACTCCTCTTATCCGGCGCACCAGATCGGTCACACGCCGCATCATCATCAACATCCACCAGAGACGTCTGGCCCCCAAGTCGAAACGATACTTCAGAACGCGTGTTTTTGTGCCAGATACGAGCTCATACTGATCCTCAAAGAGATCAAGGTACATGCACTCGATTTACAGTATCCTGGTGTTTCTTTAAGGGAAATACCTTTAGACGAATGAAATCGAGCTCATCTTTATGAATTTTTTTGCAAAGGAAAGGATTGTTTTACATTTTTGAAACTTTGGTTGTCATTTGTTATATTCTTTCTCTATTACGACGCATTTTTTGTTTTCCAAAATATTTAAAAATGGAATTCTCAAATATTTCAAAAGTATTTTCCTCTTGTTTTTCTTTTCTTGTGATATCTATGATATCAGTATTTATTGAAAAGAGGAGTTAATTGATTTTGTATTCAGATTATGTTTAAAAGAACTAATTATAATAAAAAATACTACATACTTTTATTTCATTGATAATGCTGCAATAATAGCACTAAAAAGTTTAACTCGTTTTTATTGTTACTCATTTTTTAACATTTTTTTTAACATCTTCTGACATTGAAAACGTTCAAGTGTCTGTAATATTTACATAAATAATATTAGGAGCGCGGGTTCGTGTGCTATCCATTATTCAATTTCATCTCCGAAACATAAAATATTTGCACGATTACACTTGTGTTTGTTTAGTTTGTTTAACCTGTTGTATCAGTGAACTGCGTCGTGTTTTCACAACTAATCTACTATCGCCTCAACGTACCGTCAGTAGTACGAACATTACACTGTGCGCCTGCGTACTTACGCTTACGACGTCACGTATACAACTAGAGAGCACGTATGAGCCGAGTTTGCTGACGAGCACGGAATCATTTCCAGTTATACGACTGTTTGTGCAGTATTATTAAGCTCCAGCCAGTTCTCCAGCAGGATCTGATACGCTAAAGTCAAACACTCGAAACCTATCGGCGCTCATAATTATGAACCGAACGCGAAACGGGAACTTTACATGTAGTCAAAGCCAAAGTCAATTTCGTATGTTCAAGATCGATTGCACATCCTGCGAAACTTCGACTATTTATAATTCGAGCCAGTTAAAATATGGAATGAAAACCATATATCTTTCTTGAATTACACTATTTTAAATAGACTGACGAAAAGAAAACGGTTTTATCTGTTTAACATTGCTGAGGTTCCGATTTTATCTGCATTTTTGGAATATAATAAGAAAGTAGGATTGACCATTAATTTCGTTGACCTGTCCTTAAATTCAGAAATAACATAATGATAAAATAAGAGAGACAATCTGAGCAAATACAAAAGTATGAAAATAAATTTCATACTTTCAAAGGAACTAAGTACATCACGCTTAACACTACCAAACGGGTAAAATTACCCATTCCTGATTTCTTCTTCTTACAATTATTAAAAACGCAACAGATGTTTCTCTGGTAAATTATTAAAGAAATAAGCAATACGCAAGCTGCATTTTAAATCTGTTAAAGTCTCGATAGATGCATTCTCGGAGTTTCTACGGGGGAATTCCAAAAAGTCAATTGCTCGGTAGTTTTAAAATTCATCAAAATCAATAATTGACACTTCATCGCACCCCATCATTATTACAAACTAACGTTACACGATTAAATCCTCCAAATTACTCCACCACACCTCTAACAGCGCACGACCGTTTGTTCCAGATAATAACGGATCAGCTGAAGTCGGAGGATTTGAACACGAAAGTGTCGAACGACTGGAAGTTCGCGGCGATGGTGATCGACAGAATGTGCCTAATCATTTTTACTCTGTTCACCATCATCGCTACCATCACCGTCCTGCTGTCGGCGCCGCACATCATCGTCACGTGATTCATAAAAGACGGGCAGCCGCCGGAAGGTCGGAGGTCGACGATGATCGTGCTGGGACGCGCGGCGATGTATCGGTGTGACACGGCGAACGCAACGGTGGCCGGGACCGCGTCCGCCGGCGCGGGAGCAGCCACCGATGGTGTCCACGGACGACGTTTACAACGACGTTTCTACGCTTGGATGTTGTTCGACGGCCGGGGCACGGGCTGTCCCGGCTCAAGCACGTGCGTCGTCTCGTTTCGGGGGATCCGCGCCGCGATAGGAAGAAATACAATTGCGAAGACGCCTGGCTCTTCGCCACTTTACGATATTTAAGAGATATTATCCGATCATGTAGTTCATTCGGAGGGGACGCCTTAGCGAGACACGTTGAAAATGCGCCTACACGGGGGCGTGGACGGGTCACCCGGCACACGTGCGCACGCACATACACTACGTACTTACGCACGCAGACACGAACATCGACATATTTATGTGATCCTGTGCACGCGGCCACCCGGAGGTATGCGCGATCCTGTCTGTCCTGGAACGCGGGGGATCGAGATGTCCGAGCTTCCATGCGTTCGACGTTATGCTTTTTTGCTTTCCTGAGATTCGATCGGAATCGTCGAAACTGTGGGATTATTCTTCTTTCGGCGATGAGACGTGTTACGTTCGGAGAGACTTTGAAGATTTGCGTTGGATACTGTTTTATGTTTGGAATATTGTTTGATTGGAGTTCATTTGAGGTGTATTTCATTTTCACTTATGAAAATAGCGTGAAATTGAATGTTTCATTTAACAGTTTGTTTTGTTGCTTTTTAATGGGTACGTTTGAATTTTATCTTGTAGTCTGCGTTTTGTTAATCTTATGTTAATATTTCTCTCGTTTATCTCGAAATTCAGACAATGAATGTTCGTTAGTTAACTGATACAAAATTCCAGATATTTGTAAATTGTTTGTGTGAATGAAACAATTTCTCGTTTCTTCCAAAATCTCAAAACTTCCTTCAGTCGATTATACGTTACAAACTCCTACGTTTGAATTCTATCTGTAATTCCAACGCGTCTTCCGCGTGACGTTATAACCCCACTTCCCAAATAATTTACGTTCCAACCGAATCCACGGTATTCTTTCCGTTTCCCTCGATATTCGGTAAAAAAAAGAATAATGCTCATAAAATGTGGAAACTTTTCATCTCCGGTGCCCGCCACCGCAATTGTCTGCAATGGGGATGCAAATAAATCCGCTTGGATGCGTGTACAACAGAGGCACACAGATCCACACACGCACACGCACACAAACAAACACACAAACAAACACACACACACACATATGCACACGTGCTCGCATAAACGTAACGCAGTACAGAAACACAGGCATACATCACACGGAAATACAGAGCACTGAGGACCGTCGAAGCGTTTGAATTTGTTAAAGGATAAATCGAGTTTCCCGGTGTGGTCCACGGCCGCGAAACGATTTTTCGTTTGGTCCTGGTTTCCACCCGAACGAGAGAAAGAGAGACAGAGAGAGAGAGAACTCTCGCCAGACTAGCGAGCGCGCGCGAATAGCGAGACACAGGGGGAGAGAGAGAGATACAGAGAGAGAGACAGAAAGAGAGAAAGAGAAAGCAAGAAAAAAGAGCGGAAGGGAGAGAGAGAGATACAAGCAAAAGAACGAGAAGCTGAAGAAGGGTACACTGCTCCTTTTATTGCGCTTAACGAGAAAACCAGACGAACAAGAGCGAAAAGGAGGGGAAACAAAGCGAAAAAGAACAATGAAGCAAACACGATTAAAAGCAAAGCGCACACATTTAAGTATTCCGAAAAACTGAAAATGTAACTACCAAAAAAATATATATGTGTATGTATATGTATGTATGTCGTATATATATATACACACACGTATACATACGTGGGTGAGAGAGAACGGGAAGGAAGGTACGAAGGCGAGCACGAGAGAGCAAAGGAACGGTAAAGTAAAATAACTACACACAATGAACTGCCAAAGATGATTCAAAACAAATATGCCA